GAGAAGCGCACTTATTTTATTTATTAAAGCGATTAAACAACAGGAATGCTAAAAATTATAGGTCGATAGTTTCATAATAAAAATTTCGTTGGGGAGAAATTTCAACAAAAAAATAGTTAAAAATAAATATTTTTATTCTTTAACAATGCTTTGGGAAAACTTTTAGAAAATTCGCTTTTAATTTAAAAACTTCTCTATCAAAATACAAATCTTTATAAGGATTTGTATATTTTTTAAAAATATTTTCAGAATTTTATTATTTATTAATCTTAATGACAAATAAAAATTTTGATACAAAAGGAGCAGAATATGTTAATAAAAATATGCCAATGATTGGATTAGGTAGAGAAAATTAATTTAAAAATAATTAAATATATTTATTAGGTACTTATCAAATAAATTCTGAAAAAATAATTTTTGACGTTTTGGATTCTGCTTTAGATGTTGGTTATAGATTAATAGATACAGCACAAATATATAAAAATGAAAAATATATTGGTAAAGCTCTTCAAGAATTAATGCCTAAATATAAAATTAAAAGGTTAGAGAATAAATTTGTAAAAATACTATTACATATATGATTAAAAAAATTTTTTTGAAAATATTTCATACACCAAAGGAAGTTGACTTTTTTGAACCTTTAAAAACTTTCCTTCTTTACTTTATTTTGGCAATCGAAATTATTGAGCTAGTAAATGGTCTTCCTAGAAAATAGCAAAATTTTGCTGGTCCTATTATGCTACGTCTAGATATAAAACGCTGGCGTTTAGCAGAAAACGCTGGCGGAAAACGCAACTTATGTAAACACAAACTGCGGAAAAAAATTTTTTAGACGTAGCATTACTTCGCCGGCCATACGAGCATTAAAAAAGTTAAAAAATAAAATAAATTTTTAAATCCAAATAAAATTTAAAAAAAAATTCTCAGAGAGGATTTATTTATAACAACAAAACTGTCACCAAGTAACCAAGGAATCAAAAATTGTCGTCAATCTGTGTTAGACTCGTTAGAAAAATTACAAATTGAATATCTAGATTTGTTGCTTATTCACTGGCCTGGGACTTCTAAATTGAGAAAAAATGATCCCAAAAATTCTTATTTGAGAGCAGAAAGTTGGAAAGAAATGGAGAAATTACAAAGTTTTAGAAATTAAATTTAAAATAATTTTTTCCCAAATTTTTAGAAGAATGCTTAATTCGCGCTATTGGTGTCTCCAATTATAATGTTAACCATTTAGAAGAATTACTAGAACAAGCAGAAATATTACCAGCTGTAAATATAAAATAAATTTTAATTTTAATTTTCGTTCAAAAATAGGTAAATCAATGTGAATGTCATCCACATTGGTACCAGCCAGATTTAATTGAATTTTGTTGTCGAAATGGAATACATTTTCAGGTATAAGCTGGCCGGTGAGGTTATTTAACTAGCTTAGATTTGTTCTTAAATAACAGCTAACAATAAAACAAAAACTCAAAATAAGTAAAATTATAATTCAATAAAAAACAAGTAAAGATTTCAAGACATTTTAAAGCATATAGCTATTTAATTCCCAAGGCTGTGCAGCAGACGGCGTGGTGAACGGCTAACACATCAGTCCGGTCTACTGAAGATGCTGGTTCGCTCCCAGCCGTCGAATAACCTTTTGCACTAGCTGAAGGAGAAAACTAGCTATAACCCAGCCCTGCCATATTACATGGAATAATGAAGATAACGCTCTAGCTTTCCCTTGCAAAAATGTTAGGATAACTTTAGCTCACTCATTTAAACCTCAAGACAAATTTTACATTTTTAGACTTACAGCAGTTTTGGAAGTCAATCAAATCATGAAGATTTATTTTCTGATGAAAAAATTAAAAGAATGGCAAACAAATATAATTGTAAAGTACAAGATTTTCTTCTAGGCTGGGCATTAGCACAAGGAATGAGTGTACTCCCTCGAAGTAAAAACCCAGAACATGTCCGAGCAAACTTTATAGGAGCCACTAATATAAAAGTAAATATTGAAGATGTAGAAGCAGTTAAATTGAAACCTAACGAAAAAATAAAATATTGTTGGGACCCAGAAGGATTGAGATAATAACAGAAAAAATTAAATTTCAGTTTTAAATTATTTGTTATTCTTTTTATTAGATTAATTAGGATTTTCAAAGATTCAAACATTTATCATTTAATAAAATTTTTAAAAATTGATTTTCATAACATTTTATATCATTAAATTATTTTCTTTAAAAAGTGGATCGGACAAGTCCAACAAATAATTTTTTGTAAAGACAAGAATTTGTAAAATCTCAAAAAAGACCTAAAAATTGGACATATGTAAGGCAAAAATGCCCTATGTTGTCTAAAAGTAATACATGGGGCATTGTCCAACCCATGGCAGTCAAAAAATTCTAAAACAATTTCAGTTTTAAATATTTCTAATTTTAAAAAATTTATTCAGACATTCTCATAACATTTTTCAACAATTAAATGAGTTTTCTGTCTAAAATTAACAACTCGCATAAACATTTAAAGAAGGCTAACAATAATTTAAACAGATTTTTTTAAAGAATAAAGTGAATAAATAAAAGCTTTTAAGGAGTATTGTCAAAAACAAAGAAGAACATCGCTTTAAAAAATAAAACAAAAAGTTCTTTCAACAATAAATTAAAGATTCAAAAAAATAAAAAATTTCAATTTAAGTATTTTTAAAATTATAAAAAAAATTTTTTTTAATAAATTATATTCGAACAAACTTTCTTTAATTCTTTACCAGTCATCATTTTCTGGATCACCTTCCGGCACTGGAGGAAGTGTCTCTTCATCAAGCTTTTCAGTCGCGGCAGGTTTCTCTTCTTCATCCTTCTTGTCATTTTTCTCTTCATTCTCATCTTTCTTCTCTGGAAGATCATTATTCTCCTTTTCATCCTTCTTTGCTTCTGCCTCATTATTATTATTAGCAGCAAAACTATCACCGCCTTCACCATCACCAAAACCTCCCGTTTGATTTCCACCTCCAAAAGAAGAACCACCAAACGGTACCCCACTGTTCCAACTCGGGGTAGTCTCTTCTGGAGGCAATTTTCCCTCGGATGCTTGAACGAGCCATTCCGGAGGTTCTTGGCCAACAGTTTGAACACCCTAAAATTCTTGAATTTATTGAATAATTTAAAAAATTTCAAACCTGGACAAGCTCCTTAGCTAAATCCATGTCATCAAGTGGGTCAAAGAATGAAGTAGAAATGCCTTCTTTTAAACGTCCCGTACGACCAATGCGATGGACATAGATTACATATTCTGTTGGCAAGTCAAGGTTGATAACCTGAAATAAAAAATTAATAGACGTTTAGAATTGTTGTAAGTCAAGTAAATCTTAACGACAAAACCCAATAAGTCTAATAAAAAGACATTTAGATGAGTAAGAATGGAAGAGACTTCCTATCCCCAAAAAATTCGACAAAAACAGTTATATGAACAAATTCTAAATTCTCATCCTCCTACACATATATTTTTCTCATTATTATCCTAACTAAAATTCCCTTCCCTATTCCCCAACAAATGTCATACATGGTCAAGGCCTTTAATGTCAATTCCTCTAGAGCAAACATCAGTTGTTACCACAATATTGTGCTTTCCATCCCTAAATTCATTTAATGATTGTTCTCGCAACTTTTGTGGCCGATCTCTAAAATTATTTATAAAATAGAAAAATTTAATACTAATATAAAGTTTACCCATTGATAGTAGTTGATTTGAGACCATTAACATTAAGGAATGTCGAGACAACGTCAGCCGTGCGTTTCATTTTTACAAAAACCATAGTTCGTTTCTTGTTCGGATTGTCAGCTGCAAAATTAAATTTTAAAGAGAAAATTTAGTAAAAACTAGAGTAAGTCGAGCTCGAGCGAGTTCGAGTTACTCGACTCGACCGCTCGGGTTTTTTGCGTAATTACTCGACTCGGAACTCGGGATCATAATACTCGGATTACTCGAGCTCGGAAACTTCCTACTCGACGTACTCGGTTAAAACCGAGTATTTTTATGCCCCCATCTGCGGCGCAAAAAGGAAGATTTTTAGCTTAAGGATCTTCCAAAATTCTAAAAATTTTCGCCTGCGGCGCTGAAAAAGGAAGAAATCTAGTGTGTTGGTCTTCCAAATTTCTCAAAATTTTCGACTGCGGCGCTAAAAAAAGAGATTTTGCTCTCTGGCCTTATAAAATTCTCGAACTTTTCGGCTGCGGCGCTGAAAAAGGAAGATTTGTGTATATCGGAGGATTGAATCAAGTTAGGTGGATTTTAGTGATATCCAGATATTTCAAGGGATCTAAAAGAATAGCGAGGGATCTGGCCTTCTGAAAATTGATGTTCCTACTTGACCTTCAGAAATTCTCAAAATTTAAGCCAAAGGCGCGAAAAGAGAGGGATAGAGCAACGGATCTCATAATCAACTTTCGACAATATATCTAATCCGACGATATCCCAATTAATCTCCCGTATTTCCAAGATTTTGCTCATAATACACCAAAATCTCACTATAATCGGCCTAAATCCCGCTTAATCCCTTGATATCCATCTTATTTTCTGTTATCATTCGATATCCTCTTAATCTTCACGAATCCCTGAAATAATATTATCCATTGATGTTCAACCCGGAGCCCGGATTCAACATGGATCGTGTGCATATCATGGAATTTCTGCGGATTAAGAGGGATATAGACGGATTAACGAAAATAACTGGGATTTGGATGAAGATCTAACGCATTCATGCCAACAAATGCTCAAAACACGGCACTGAGGATGAATAGTCTTTAGTAAAAGTATTGTTTTTATTGAAATTATTTAAAAATACTGTTTTATAAAAAATACTCGATTACTCGACTACTCGAACTCGGGCTAAAAAGTTGAGCTCGAGCTCGAACTCGGGTTTTTCAAACTCGGATTACTCGAGCTCGGTTTTTTCCCAATTACTCGGTACTCGACTTACTCTAGTAAAAACCCAAAATAAAACTATTAGACATTTAAATATGGACAACCAAACAACTTCTCGTCAAGAAAGTCGCATGGATATTATGGAAATAAAAATAATGGAATTTACGATTTTCTTTTTTGGCATCTTCCTCCTCTTGTTTAAGCAATTTCAAAAGTTCATTGTTCTTCTCACCACGTGAAACTTTCATAAACTTTTGAATAATACGCGGATTAGCATCAACCAATTTACGATTTGAAACCATCACATTTTCCTTTTTGAGCCACTCGCTCGCCCACTGTTGAACTTCAGGTGGAAAAGTGGCACTAAAAAGCAGAGTTTGGCGGTCCTCATTCTGAAAAACAAAAAAAATATTTTAAATATTTTTACATTAAAAAACCTTTGGCCATCCATTTACTTTAGTTAAACGACGCAGATCACGTGCAAAACTGTCCTCAAGTAATTGGTCAGCCTCATCCAAAACCAAAATTTTCATTAATTCAAAGTCAAGCTTAAATTTAAAAAAAAATTATAAAAATAAAAGAAATAAATCACAAATTCATTCATAAAAAAGTCGGTGAGACGGCCAGGAGTCCCAACAAGAATATCACAACCACTAGTTGAAATATGCTTCAAATTTTCTTTATGCTTAAACATTCCATAAGCTTTAGCAACAGAAACACCAGTTTCTTAAAAAGAGAAATAAATATGTGATCAAAATTTGAGATTATAGGAATTTTAAGTTCTTGGGAAAATAATAGTAAATTGATATGGCTCTTAAATGTGAACAGAAGAAAACTAAATTTATTAAAAAGTAAGCTTATCCCAAAAGCAAATTAAGGTAATCATGTAGAATCTGGGATACACCTTAAAAATACCTTAAGACTTAATATTTTTTTCTGGAAACAATTTTATGTAGGTAATCGACCATGCTGATCACGAATCTGAGCTTAGAATTCGATTATTTCGAACCCCGGACCCGAATTCGACCAAGTCGAATTTGGGTTAAGAATTCGAAATTAAAATTTAGGGCTAATCTGACACGCCTATTCGAGCTGAGTCGATTGGTATCAAAATTATTCAGTTTCGACAACTTTGGACGAAGTTATTATCAATTAAATAACGTTGGGTTAGACTTCCGTCTACAAATCAGACACCGTAACTTCGTCCAAAGTTGTCGAAACTGAATAATTTTGATACCAATCGACTCAGCTCGAATAGGCGTGTCAGATTAGCCCTAAATTTTTAATTTCGAATTTTTTACCCCGAATTCGACTTGGTCGAACTCGGGTCCGGGGTTTGAAATAAACGAATTCTAAGCTCAGATTCGGACTCAGCATGGTCGATTACCTATAAAAAACTATTTTCAGAAAAAAACAATCAAATTTTTTAGATGTATCCCAGATTCTACATGATTACCCAAATTAATTTTAAAAGTTTATTTAAAAAATAAGTTACCATCAGCCAATTTTCTTGCTTGATCATATAGCTGAATAGCCAATTCACGTGTTGGTTCAATTATAAGCGCATACGGGCAAACTCGTTTCGACTTAAATTCCTCCTTCTTCTTCAACACCATAATTTTATTGATAATGGGCAACAAAAATGCTGCACTCTTTCCACTTCCAGATTCAGCATGGCCTTTGACATCATGTCCTATAATTTGAAAAAAAATAAATTTCAATTAAGAAAATTCAAACCGTCCATAATCAAAGGAATGGCAAGAGATTGAATTTTTCGCAAACGAATGTATTGAGCCTTTTCAATATTTTCTTTCAGTTTTGGTTCAAAGTTGGCTTCACCCCAATCACTAGAAAGAAAAATTTAAAGGTAAAAAAGTTAAAACAAACTCGAGAACTTGAGTTGCAGATTCAAGCCCAGTAACAACGCATTCTTCATCCTCTTCACAAATATTTTTATACTGTTCAGCAGCCTTAATATCTTCAGCACGGATATCTTCAATTGTGCGGTCAACTGGGACATGAGGAGTATCTCGAGCACGTTCTTCTTCAGCTAAAAAAGAAAGGTTTGAAGAGCATGTAAATTTAGGGACAAATTAAAGACAAACATACCAAAAATCATTAAAAAATTTTCCCAGTTTCAGGGGGAGGCTATAGCCCCAGAAGCCACCCCTGGCTACCTAAGCCCTTGATGGAAATAAAGTGAAGTTGAGGACCAATTTAAAGTAAGTCTAACCATTCTTAATAATGAAAGGAAAAAGGAGGGGTAAACTAAATTCACTTTTACCCAAAAAAACTAACAAGCATAAGGTCGAAAAGTTGTTTGTCCACCGTTGTCCTCAAAGCGGCGCCCTCCGCCTGCAAATGATCCACGTGCACCTCCACCCTCGCCAAACGTGCGTGATCCTCCACCATCGCCAAATGCACGTGAACCTCCACCATCCCCAAATGTGCGCCCACGTCCACCAAAACCGCGAGGCTTGTCTCCATCATTATTAGTGCTATCTGCATTATTTCCAGCCCCACCTCCAAAAGACGAACCATTTTCACCAAAACGAGGTCCTCCAGCACCACGGCCTCGGAATCCTGAACCTCTTCCACGTCCTCCTTCTCCCCCAGCATCCGTAGAGTTATTGTCTTCGTTAGACTTAGAAGTCGCAAAAGCTAAAAATTAATTTAAAATACAATTAACAAAGACTAAAACCTCCTCTTCCACGTCCACCAAAACCTCCCCTTCCACGGGTATTATTTTCATTAGAGTCACTATTCGCAGGACGATCACCAAAATCAGTGCCATCAGCTCCCTCTGCTTGGCGGGAAGTGAATCCTCCTCTGCCATTTCCTCTCCCAAATGATCCGCGTCTTGGTCCAATTGTCTCTGGCTCTGTAGGCGAAACACGTTCAGACTTTGTATTAGAATCCTCTTTGTTATCATCAGTTTGTGCTTGACCTCCAAATGAGGAATGAGTTGTTCCACGTCCACGTCCTTTAAATTAACAAAAAAATCAAATAATTTAAGGTAATTACAAACCTCGGCCTCTTGGACCTGCAGGATTCAAAGGGGCGGTGTTTGCCCCAGTTGCGGCTCTCGAGCCAAAGGACCCAAAGGTCCGCCGATCATTTTGTTCCCTAGGCTCCTCTGAAATATTAACCATATTCAACTTTTTTAATTTAACAAAACTATAAAATATTGATTAATATTTTTTTGAATAAATTTACAGGGAAAAAATAAAGAAAAAAATAAAAAGTACATCAATAAAAATAAGTACATAGATGAATAAAGGTTTTTAAATTCAATAAGAACGCTGATATCCTCACCGTTAGATACATATCCATAAAAATCCTTTGATATGCCCCTTAATTCCTCGGCATCTCCTCAAATCTACCTTAATCCCCCAGATCCGTCTTAATCTGCCAAATTCATCCCTATATTTAATTTACGTCTTGTCCCAAAGACCGTTGGATAAAAATTGCTAAAAGTTTCGTGAATGTTTCGCGAGGACTCAAAACGTCGGAGCAGGTCGTTTCAGACGCGCGTTTCACTGGACGGTTTAGTGCCTCTTACAGTACTTTGGTTTAGTCCCAATGGAGAGATGAGGAATTAGGAGTGATTAAAAGGGTATTTCGAGATTAACAGGGATATCGAGGGATTTGGGGAGAAATGAGGGATATACAGTGTTAGAAAGATTTTGAGGAGATATCGAGGGATCTGTGAGAAGAACCAGGGATTTGTGAGGATTAAGACGGATGTAGAGGATAAGAAGGATTAAGGCTTGGGCTGGAATTAGAGGTCGGCGTTGGACGGGATCCAGCGCGGGATTTTGCGCGCGGGATCCCGCAAACACGATTTTGCTGATCTCTAGTTGGAATTATAATCGGATCGATTTCATATCTCCATAATTTCAACAATATTTATTATTTATTTATTCTTTAATCGCTTCACTTTAGTAAATTTTCAAAATTATTTTCCTTTAAAACCAATTTCACATTATTTTATTTTTAATTATTAATTAATATTATATGGTTGTGTTCTGTTTTGAAATATTCTAATAATATCCTCATCAACAGATCTATGCAATATTGACTGTTCTAAACAAACAATTCTTTGATTCGGAATTATTGTGTGATTTTCGCTATAAGCTACTTGTTCAATATTTGTTCCCCTCAAATATTTAATAAAATAAAAAATATAAATTGTCCCATTTCCATTTAAATTAACATGTTGATCAAATTCCATATGATAATTTTCATCATATTCCATTTCTCCAGGTTCATCTTCAAATTGTTGAGGTAAAGTTTGATTAATATGAGGTTGGTGGTCTTCTAATGGTTGTAGTTGATTGTATTGATTTCGATGGTAAAGAGTAAAATTAAAATAACCCATAATATTTTGTAAATAAACAAAACTTGGATTAATGTAATATAATGGATGATTTGGATTTGGATGGTTAAGTATTGAACGAGCATATTCAATTGCTTTATATGAATTATTAAATAATTGCTCACGAAGTTCTTCTAAAAATTATTTTTTTTAATTAATGAATTATGGAAGCATTTAAGTCTAATCTTTTTAACTGAGAACATTAAAAAGTTGAGGAACCTATTTTCCCCCAAAATCCTCATCCATCTTAGCAGCGATATCGGGGGTTAGGGATTAACCACTCAATATCCCTCTACTCCTCGAATATTCCCTCAATCCCTTCATATCACCTTATATCTCCTCTATATTCTCTCTCAACATGCCTTGATATCACTCTTAACCCACCCAGACCCCTTGATATTTCTGTGAGGGATTTGTTTTGTTGTAAACAAAATTATAATTTTCTAAATTAATTATTTTTTTACCTTTCATATATGACTTCATTTCAGTTAATTCAACATTATTAATAGAATAATATTCATATTTAAGATCAAATTCATTAAAAGGTGGGGGTGCTTGAATAAATATTAAATTTAAATAAATAATTGAAAATATTAATAATTTGACACTCTTCATTAACAAATATTTATCTGAATAAAAAAAAACATTTAAAAAAACATTTAACTGTCTTCAGGTACATATTACATACATTTTTATTTTTTTTTGATAAAAGCTTTCAAAGAAAATTTATTTTTTTCGACAAATAACCCTACAACAACGTTCTCTAAGATTTTAATTTATAAAGTCCTAGAGGCATATTTTTTTGAAATTTTTTCTTTAAATTGAGAAAATAAAATAATTCGTTTATTTTATTATTCTTAAAAGAAGGAAAAAATCCACATTTTTAAAGCTTGTTTAAATCGGAAATTAAATAAATTTTTGAATAATTAAAATATTTTTCAATATTTGCCTAATGCTTTAAATAGACTTAATATTAAGAATATTCAAATAAAATTAAAAATTTAATATTTCTATTTAAGGAAAGTACGTTTGAATTTAACGTTTGAATAAAAATAAAATTTGTAGAATATTTTAAAAATTATTGAAGAGTTTAGAGAGAAAATTTATTTTTATTTATTTATTAAGTTCATTTTTGTTAGTAATGCTGCGAATTGAAAAAAAAGTCAGGTCAGGTTTCGGGTCGGAAAAGGTTCGGTCATTACCGAGATTTGGGGATCCAAAATGAATCAGGGGATTAAGCGAGATATTAAAAATTAAAAAGATTTGATGAATATGTCGAGAGAGATATCGAGAGATAATTATGATCGCTTTATCGATATCATGCCCAAATCCCTTGACATTTCCTCTAACTCGATGAATACATATAAATATCTTTAATAAAACTTTATTTCATAAACAGAATTTAAAAGTACAATTTAATGGAAAAAATTTTGTGATATACATGAAATAAATCTTTCCTTGTTCTCTTAAATTAATTAATATTATAATTTTGAGGACGTGCTTGAAGAATTGAAATAATAGTTCCATCAATAGCTCTATGTGTTATTTGTTGTCCAAAATTAATTGTTAAATTATTTTTAATAATTCTGTGTATTTCACTATATTCAAATCTTTCAATATTATTTACATGTTGACACCTAATATAGTAAAATATATCAATTGTTCCACTTCTACGTATTTTTATATTCTGATTAAATTGGTCAGAAATTCCTCCACCATTCATTTGTTGATATTCCCCAATTTGTAATATTCCGTTAGAATGTATTTGATTTACTGTTAAATTTCTAATTTGATTATTTTGATTTGGATGGTATAAAATAAAATCATATTTCCCTAAAACTAAATTTCCGTCGTTTATCTGTTGTCTTAAATGTAATGGACTATTTGGATTTGCTGGTCTATTTGCTTCTTGATATTTTCCTCGGGCGAAATCAATTGCCTTATATGCATTAGCAAACACCGTCTGACGAAGTTCAGCTTAAAATAAATCTAAAGTTATTATACTGTCATTAAATTACTAAATATAATTAAATTTTGATTAGCCTACCTAACATACTCGGTAACATATGATTCATTAAAATATTATTTAATGAATAATATTCATATTCAAGAATAAATTCATGCATTGGCGGGGGTGCTTTAATTAATATTAAATTTAAATTAATAATTAAAAATAATATTAAGAGAATATTTTTTAACATTTTAATTTTTTTTAAATTTTACTTATTTAAAAGCATTAGAATAAAAATCTAAAAATTAATTTAAAAGATGGAAATTCATAGCACGTTCGAAACGAGAATATTATTACTAAATAAATTTTTTAAGTTTTAAAAAAAATATATTTTAAAGGCAATCCAAAATTTGTAATATGTTTCTAACAATACGGGAATAATTCCTGGTCTATTTTTAGAAAATATTTACTGTCAAAATATTTAAATTAAATTTGATCTAACTTTTTTAAATACTAAATTATTACCCCAGCTGTCGCGATAGGACTGTAGATTCTTGGTAAATCTTCGGATACATGGAACTAACCGAAGAACCAAGCAGTTAAATCCTTGGTTCTTCGGTTCGGTACAAACCAACTAGCCGCGAACTGTCAAGTTATGATTAAAAGCTTCAACATTTTTCGATTTCAACACGAACGGATAAATTTTTTCTTAAATAAGAGTATCGTATCATATTTAAAACCTTTACACTGATAATTTTATATCTTTTTTTGAAAACATTGGATATTATAAACTTTTGCCACTGTTTTCAAAATTATTGAAATACTTATTATTAATATCTTTACTTTCATTTTATTCAATTTTTTAAAATAAATTTTACAAAAAAAAAATAAATTTCTAAAAATTAATTTTGTAATATTGAGGGCGGAATTGATTAATTGATATAATAGTTCCATCAACAGCTCTATGTGTTACTTGTTGAATAAAAGTTAAAATTAAGCTTTCTCTCATAATTCTATGTTTTTCACTATATTCAAATCTTTCAATATTATTTCGATTTCGACATCTAATATAATAAAATAAATCCAAAGTTCCATTTGGATAAAGAGCTATAAGGTGGTTAAATTGATTCTGGACACCTCCTCCATTTGTATGTTCATCTTCCCACATTTCTAGTGTTCCGTTAGAATGCGGTTCATTAAATCTGAGTGTTCTAACTAAATTATTTTGATTTGGTGGATAGAGAATAAAATCATAATTTGCATGGATCATATTTTGTACAGCAACCGTATCCAGATAAATTAACTGCTCATTTTGATTAGCACCAGGGTTTGCCTGATGGACTCTTAAACGTGCAAATTCAATTGCTTTATATGCATTGTAAAACAATTGTTGACGAAGTTCGCCTAAATATAAATAGATTTTCTTCAGCCTAGTAAATATAATGATACTATCAAAAATATTTCATTTTTTCATTAATAGAAAATCTTAATAATAAAATAATTTTTTAATTCAAAAAAAAATTAAATAAATGGTTGTTTGAGAGGTTAATCACAAACGCACAATACTAGATATATTTTTACAATTTTAATCACGGAGTTTCTGCGTCCCTGTTTCTTTGGAAAAAAAGGAAGAATGAAATTCATAAGATAAATAAAAAAATAATATTAAAATAAATAAATACTTCCTTTTCAAATTAATTTCTTAATTAACCTTTTATATGTGGCAATATAAATTCTAATTGATCACCATTTAACTCGTAATATTCATGTTCAAGATTAAAATGACTCATTGGTGGCGGGGCTTTAATTAATATTAAATTAAAATAATTAATTAAAAATAATATTAAGAGAATATTCTTTAACATTTTAATTCGTTTTTTTTAATTTTCTAAATAAAATTATAATTAAATATTAATGAATTTAGACAATAAATCTTTGTACTTTCAAGGAGTAAATCTACCTACACACTATCTACTGTATATACTCTATTAATTACCCTGGGTAACTATTGTTTCGACCTTACTCTGGAGAGGGTAATTAATAGAGGCGGGGCACTAATAGAGGCAGAGCATTAAGAATTATTCGAGGGAGGGTAATTAATAGAGTATACACGGTATGTTAACAACCAATCTTGAATCTTTAATTCAATGAGAATGCAAAGAATGATAAAATGTTTGAAGAAGAATGCCCACATTTATTTTTAAATATTAAATTTGAAAGGCGTATTTATAAAATCGGCCCACATGAAGGTTTATGAATAATTAAAGTTTTATATCTTCAAAATTGTCTCGAATGGTTTGTAGAAGCAAGAATATTGAAAAATAATTTAAAAAATAATATTCATAAATTCTGAACTATTTTTAAAAAATTATACATTTATGCATAATTTTAAAATCTCTTCAAATTTTAATATTGTATGATAGTGCAAAATTTAATTAACTTTGAGATAAATTAATTTTTGCAAAAAAATTAATGAAGTGAGTAATAAATTTAACCTGAATTAATTCAGGTTAAATTAATCACTTACTTCTTAATTACTCACCTGAATTAATTACTCACCTCTGGAGTAAGTTTATTATTTGAGGGAGGGTAATTATTATTTTAACCTGAATATCATTTATTTTATCATAGACTAATATATCATCCCGTAATCAGGATGTAATACATCCCGTAATCAGGGGTAATATAATAAATTTATTTTATAATTTTATTAAAATATAGAATAAAATTATTAATTTTTGATATAATTTTTATTTATCCTTTATCCAACATTTAGCCCCTGGGCAGAATCGATCAAAAGTCTTCTGGCCTGGATCGCTCTTTGTTACCACGTATTGACCGGTAGATAATGATGAAATGATTTTACTCTCTCCTGATATGTAATGATGAAATTACTTCATTTCAATAATTTTATTAATACATTTCAACCAAATTTTATTAAAAAATATTTAAGTCACGATTTAAAACAAATTTTTAAATAAATTTGGATGAGAATTAGGTATGTATAAAATATTATATTTATTTTTATTTTTTATTTCAAATTTAATTAATATTATAATTTTGAATTCGGCTTTGTAAAATCCAAATAATAGTCCAATCACTAGCTCTGTGTGTTATTGCTTGTTCAAAAATTAATTTTAAAGTATCTTGATAATATCCGTGTAATTCACTATAAGAAAACTTTTGTGTAGTATTTCTGTATTGCCATTTCATAAAATAAAAAGACTCAATCCTTCCATCTTCATATAATTTAACATTATTATTAAAATGATCTTCTTCTTCTTCGTCTGAATTTTCTTCATCGTCTTCTCCCTCTTCATAATATTTATTAATAAAAGGTTTGTGGTTATCGTGATCTACAACCAAATTACTTTGATTTTGTCTATAAAATCTAAAATCAAAAGCAATTGTTGTTGAGTTTTCGAACATTGAAGTTTGGTCAGCAAAATAAATTGGCTCGTTTGCTGGGTAATGATGTGCTATATCTTCTATTTGTTGACGGGCAACGTAAATTGCTTTAAATGCATTGAGAAATAAACGATGCCGAATTTCTTCTTAAATTAAAATATTTAAAAACTTTAGATTTGTATAGAAATTTAATTTAAATATTAAACAAAAAATTTTAAAGCTTAAAATTAATTCCTTTTTTCGAAAAATCTTTTGATGGGGGAACTGAATAAACGATACCCCTACCTAAGATAAGTTGTTTTAGTTCCATGGGGTATTCACATTAGAGATCCGGCTGTATTTAGGTATTTAAACATTCACTCCTTGTTAACCTTTTATATGTAAAGGAATCTTAAAAATTTCGACATTGTTCATTGAGTAATATTCATATTGAAGAACAAAGTCCTCATATGGAGGTTCTGGTTGTGGTATTGCTTGAAGGATGACAAAATTTAAATGAAAAAATAAAAATAATAAAGCAATTTTTGTAGCAAACATTTTTTACTAAAATAAAATTAAAGTTATTGTTGTTCTTACTGTCTTTAAGTGAAAGATGAGAGGACTAAAAATTATAATTTTGGATGATTTTTAGTTTTTTTGTAATAAGATTTTAAAATAAATTTTTTGTTAATTTTATTTATTTAAGAAGGTATAAATTTCTAATACATATTTTAATGATTAAATAAATTTTTAAATCAATAATGTAAAAAACTCCAAGTGTAAAAATAATAAAAATATTCTAAATAAATTATTTAGATTAGGATAGAAAAGTTTTGAAAGTTTAAATGTCTTTAATTTTAATACAATTAAATTTAAAAAGAATTTTTATTTTCCTCTACATTTTATATTTATTTGTTTATATAATCGCTATAAAATATAAGGGAGATCTTCAGTTACTTTATATTTTACTAAATTAAATTTAAAATTCCAAAATTAATATTTTTTAACTAAATATTTATTTAAATCCCCTTTTATCTTCTGTTTATAGAGATTATTAAAAGAATATTTAAAATAACTATATTTCCATGACAACATAAACTAAATAAGTATTTATGCTTTTCCTAACCAAAAACATCAAAAAAAGAAAATATTATATTATTTTTAGTAATAACTTTTTGTAAATTATAATGAAAATATTTCTCCTACAGAAAAACTTTTTTTAATTAAAAAGAATTGAGAGAGAAAATGGAAGGAACGTCTACTAATTCTTTTGTAACAGAAAATGGAATTAGTGGGTTATTAGCAGCACTAGATGAAGGGGGTACAGGTCCGTTGGTTGAGGCTATTGAACTTGGAGATTTAGAACAAATGCAGCATTGGTATTTGTTATTATCTAAGGTAATTAAAGGAAATAAAAAATTTTTAAATTTTCTAGTTCTCAAATTCTCATTATTTCCCCCAATTTAAATTCAAAAAATCTAAAGTGAAAAAATAAATTTTAAATTAAAGGTTTCAGTAGATGAATTGTTAGATGCTGTCGAAGGAAACAATCTTTCTGTCGATGATTTATATGGAATATTTCGTGCTGTTCACTTATTAATGCAATGGGAACATACACAAACTAATGAATTAAAAGTATAGAATTTAAAATAATTTATTTAAATTTTTTTAATTAAAAGGAAATTGTGGAACGTGAAATAGCTAGTGCAGCAGAACAGGAACAAAAATGGGAGACTGAACGTGAGACACTCCAAGACGAGTTAAACTCTCTTCGAGAACAAAAAAATACTTTCTCTTCTTCATTAAATGTTAATAATTTACACGAAGCATTCCGAGCAGAAATTGATGCTTTGGCTGAAGAAAATTTACAATTAAAACGAAAATCTAATGAACTTGAAAAAGAATTAAATGAACAACGAGAAAGAGCAAACAATTTGGATATTAAAGCTTTGGGTATTGAAAGAGAAAGGGCTTTACTTGCTAATAATGTAAATAAATTAATTGATAATTTATAAAAAATTTTAAAAATTAAAGCAAATTCAATTAGAAGAAAATATTCGAGAATTACATCGGAGAATGAATACTAGAAGTGAGTCTATACAGCGTGACCAAAAATGGGAAACTAGCAAACTTAAACAAAGAGATGAGCAAGCACTTATCCTCAGTGAACAAGTAATTATCTTCAAAATTTGTTATAGTATTGCCTAATATGTATAAGTGATTTCACTGAAATTTTGTCTTACATACTCTCTTGGATTTTTTAATTTAAAATTACGTGTGCCCATAATTAGGCGTATCCTTAGGCGGCTTCTCAGCCCCACTTCACTTTAAAAAATCTACCTTAAATTGAGGTGTAAATAGGACTTTTGGTTCAAATAATAAGTACATAGCTAAATAAAGTCTTGATAAATCTGAAGGTTCGAGAACTAGCTGCCCAAAATGATGAACTCAGAGCAGAAGCTGACCGTCTAAGTCAAGCATTAGAACAAGCAACAGAATTGGTCAAAGAAAATGCTTTTAAATTTGCTGAATTTGATGAACAATTGTCAGAAGCAGAACATCAACTTGAGAAAATGGGGACAGATAATAAAGAATTGAGAGAATTAATTGAAAATAAAGAATTGGTTCCTTTTAAATTTAATTAAAATAATTTAGAAAATAATTAAGGAAGCAAAACGTAAAGTAGATGCAGCAGAATTAGATAACAGGCAATTGGCAGAGGTGCTACAATCAAAGGATGCATTAATTGAAAGATTAAGAAATCAAATACAAAATCAAAAAGTTTTTTAAAAAATTTTTTCTTAAAGAAATCCTCATTTAAAGTTGGAAATTGAACAATTTCGAATATCAACAGAAATATTAGCAACAGACCCGGATATTCATCAAAAAGAATTAGAGTTAGATAATTTACGTCAAGAATTGATAGCAGCGACAGAAACTGCTAAAAGATTATTTGGAAATGAAATTGCTGAAGATGTAGAGGAGGAAAATAATAATAATTTGGTTGTTACAGATAATACAAATTCTGAATTACGAATTAGATTAATTCAGGTATTTTAATAAATTGTTAAAGTTTGTCGTTATTTTTTTGGAAATTATTTCCCATTCCTCTCGTCAATATCGATGAGAGTGCTTAGAGAAATTTTGTAGCATTTTTGTAATACTTGTAAGAGAGGTAAAAGTCTAGCTCCGGGCATGTACCTATTATAAATCCTGCGGCAGTTATTGCTAGGAGCTTGCACTCACCAAGTACAGGTTATGTACCAACTGAGCTACCGGGGCTATTGACCGATCAACCTTCTCGTTTACATTAGGGTTAGTCCCCGACGGGGGACGGGGGCCCCGTCTAGTTTACATAATAGATCTTAAACCCCCGACTTCTTCCTTAAATTAATATAAAGGATGTCTATAATTTCTTAACGGACTTTAAGAAAATTATTTTTTCTAATTTCGAAAAAAAGATGGACCAAGAATTAGCTCGATCAGAAAAGAAATATTTGGAAGAACAACGTCATCAAGTCGAATTAGAAGAATTATTACAACAAAAAGAGTTGGATGCTGTTCGGTTAATGACTGACTGTCGAAGATATAGAAAAATAGCTTTTGGCGATAGAGATTTGGAAATGAAAAAAATTGAAAGACAATTAAATTTTAGAGATAAACAAATACAAAAATTAAGAAAAAAATGTTCAGAATTGTATTTGGAAGTTGAAAGGCTTACGGAAAAAAGTAATTAAATAAAAGTTTAAAAAAAAAGTTTTCTTTTAATTTTAAAGGGGAATCTTTTGAGAAGGAAAAGAAAATAATTTCTGAAGAAGATGATAAAACAATAAAAATAAAAAAGGAGGAAAAGGAAGAATTTAAATTGAAAGAAGAAAAAGAAGATATTCCAAAAGAAGAAAGAAAAGAGGAGGAGGAAGAAGAATATGTAGATGAATGGATGGAAGATGATGAGAAAGAAGAGGAAGAGAAGGAAGAAGAATTAGTTAAAATTGAAGTAGAAAGGCCAAAACAATTAAAGAGAAAAAGATTAAGTAAAGACAGAATTATTGAAGAAGCAACGACAATTAGTGCTCTAAGCACTGAACTTGGTCTACTTATTGAGGTGAAATTATTTATGTAAATAAATAAAAACATCGTTGAGGCCGATTTGGGCAAGTAATGTCCCCAGTCTTTTAATGTTAGCACACAAAAGAAATTTGACAAGAACCCCCCATAAAAATAAATCCAATCCTCTTTCAATACTAGGCTTAATTTTTTTAATTATGGGAAGGGAATATTTGGGAAATCTTTTTAAAATTCTAATTAATTAAATTAAAAGGAGATTGAAGAAAAAAATAAAGAAATTAAAAATCTAGAGAAATCTTATGAAGAAAGAGGGCGTCATTTATTTGAAGCTAAAAAATCTGAAGAAAATATTCGGAAGGAATTAAATTCTGTAAAGGAAATTATTTTATTTGGTAATAAAAATAATGAAAAAGAAGAAGAATATAAAGATCCATTAGAAGAATTAGATAATTTAGAAAATAATAATTATATTTTTAATGAGGTTATAATTTAAAATAATTATTTATTTAATCCCCATATAGGCTTCTTTATTCAACCCCTTTATTCCCTTTAAAATCACCAAAAGGGGGCATGGCCTCCCAAAAAGGGGGCGAAAGCGGCTAAAAAGGTGGCAAAAAAGGAGGCATTATTTTAAAAACTTAAAAATGATTGAAGTTTCAAATAAAAAGCAAGCTTTAATGAGACTAAAAAGCCAGATTTCTTCCATTTTCAGAAAAGATCAAAAAGGTGGCAATGAGAAAAAAAGGGCGAGAAGGCCAAAAGGGGGCAAATGCCTCTTAAATGAGGTAAAAGGGACACCCTGGTATGCATCTAAGTTTGACTTTATTCCATCTCAATTCCTTTCACAATTACCAAAATTAAAAAAATTCTTATTAGATAAAATCACGTGAACATTTGGAAGAATTAGAAATAGAGAATGTTGAATTAAAAAGATTTTTTGAAAATCTTGCCCAAACAGGAAATGAAAAAGAACGTAGAATGACAGAAGAAGCACGTCGTCTTTTATATTTAGCTATTAGAGAAGGAAAACTTGAAAGGCGGGTTAAAATCAGTGCACGTTTGAGACAGGCAATGTGTGAAGGTTTTTAATGAATAAATAAATAAATATTTTTGAATAATTAAAAGAATTATCTCAAATGCGTAACAGGCTTTGTAGACTGCTTACTGGCGAGGTGGGAATATTTTTAGAAAAATTAATTTTGAATTTTCATAAAAAATAAAAAAAACTATTTTTAGAAAATATGTAAAATTATTTTGAAAAAAATTTTTATTTAAAAACATCTGATATACTTTAGAATATTTAAAATAGGAATCACGTAGTCGTCAGTTGGCCTTTGAGAATGAAGCAAAAATATTTGAATTAGCTCGGCTTCAAGTATGTTTTTAATATTGTTTTTAATCAACTTATTTATATTTGGGTTAGTTACCTACCGTATATACTCTATTAATTACCCTGGATAATTATTGTTTCAACCTTTCTATGGAAGGGGTAATTAATAGAGGTGGGGTAATTGATAGAGGTTATTTTATAAAGGCTAATTATAACTATTTTCAAGGGGGTAATTATTAATTCAACCTTTTGCTGTAGGAGGTAACTAATAGAGGCGAGGTGATTATTTGAGGAAGGGCAATTAATAGAGTGTATATACGGTAAGTAATGTAAAATATTTTTTTCCAAACACTCATTTAATACCTTTGGGGGATATCTGTTTATCCTTCTACTTATCCTTTCAGATGTCCTTCCCTTCATTACATTATCATTAAAAATAAATTTCTTTATTTATTTAGAATGCTTTACTCCATTCTGTCCCTCTAAACGAATATAATCGTCTTTTACGTGAACACAAAAGAATACTTAGAGAGCGTTTTTTAACTTCCTCCCCAGATATTGGTTATTATTCTACAACAACTTCAAGTTTAAAAACTAATTCGGAAGATGAAGAAGAGTCAGAATATATTCAATTAAATAAAATAAATATTTCAAAGCCTGGACTTTTATTTGGAGATAATGAAAATATAAATAAACTTTTGTTGAAGAATAAAAAATTAGAAGAAATTAACGAAATTCTAATTGGACAGAATGAGTCTTTGAAAGCAGAAAAAAGGAAAACAGAAACAGAATTAGCTGAAATGAATGCTTTTCTGGATGATTTGGAAGCTGAAACTGAATTAAAATCTATGCGTAATTAAATAATGGCTGTACTTTTAAATAAAATTTATTTCTAGTCGCCAATATTGAAAGAAGATTCCTTCATGCTATTAGAGAGCAATTCGATGCAACAGAGGAAAGAGAAAGTTTACAAAATGAATTGAGGAGGATTGAACGTAAATTTAGGTACTTAAATTATTTAATTTTTACCAGAAGTGGGTCGGAATTCCGATTTCCTAAAAAATGTTTTCCGATTTCCAAGTTCCGACTTTTGAGCCAGTTCCGATTTCCGGCTCTTCCGATTTCCGACATCTCTGACTGTTCCGACCCACCTCTGATTTTTACACCTTCCTTATTTTAAAACTAAAATTACAAAATATTTTTACTCAACAAATTTCAAATAAGACAATAGGCATTAACATATACAAGTAATTAACAACAACAGTATCTATTTATTTATTACATATATCTATTTAACACGTTCATAGCCAGAAGGCTTTGTTTTCCCCGACTCCTGACTTCCTTTGTGTTTTGCATCTTTTTGGGGGCCTTTATTCTTTTCCTTGCTTTTCTTTTTGTCGCGCACCGAAGCCGCCATTATATCACTGGATTCCATCTTTGTGTGGACATGGTGAATTCTATACAACAGAAATCCTGCAGCAAGAATGCTAAAAGTTTAAAAAATTATTGGGGTAATTGTTCGGGTAAAGGTCAAGAATACGGGCCACTCACGAATATGGACAAATTATATGTCATTCGAAAGAGCTCGGCGAGTGAAGTCGAATGACACCAAAATTATTAAGCGGACTCAACTATGAGCTGAGATACAAGGGTTCAAAATTGTCAAAAATCATAAGGGGGACCAAGCTGATTTTTGGGGTCAAAAGGTCGAAAATGCAAATAATAGCTTATTCGAAAGAGCTCGTCGAGCTGAATCGAATGACACCAAAATCAACGAAATACGACTTGATTGGACAAAGTTATGATCTTTTCTTTTACCTCCTTACCTATGTCATCAGTGGAGATTTTTGCTGCTACGGAGGCCCCAAGTACGTCCAGAGTAAGGGAGATAGGAATAGGTTTATGTTACGAGCCCAGACCCATCGCCCGTAGACTCCCCGCGAGGCGCGTGCCGCAAAACCCCGCGCGAAGCGCGGGGTTTTGCACAAGCGCCTCGCCGACGCTCCATAGGTTTAGGTTTTTGGTTTTTTGTGTATAACTTTGTCTAATCTTGTTCAATCATGGTGATTTTGGTGTCATTCGATTCAGCTCGACGAGCTCTTTCAAATAAGCTATTATTTGCATTTTCGACCTTTTGACCCCAAAAATCAGCTTGGTCCCCCTTATGATTTTTGACAATTTTGAACCCTTGTATCTCAGCTCATAGTTGAGTCCGCTTAATAATTTTGGTGTCATTCGACTTCACTCGCCGAGCTCTTTCGAATGACATATAATTTGTCCATATTCGTGAGTGGCCCGTATTCTTGACTTTTTCCATTGTTCGGACCAGAACCCTGTTTGGATGTTCTCAAATCAAGCCCCCTATTTATTTTGCCCCCCTATCCCAATTCAAAAATACTTACACCAAGACGGCACATATAGCTATTACAATGAGGATTATCGATGTATTATTGCTCTTCTTCGTTCCTCCCACCACTACTGTTGGCCCGGCTGTTGTAGTCGTTGTTTCTTCGTTATACGACGTTGTTTCATTAGAGACCGATCCAACAGTTGTTGTGGTAGTGGTCTCCTCATCAGCTTTTGTAGTCTCTTCCTTATCGGTGCTCTTCTCCACAGTACTATTTGTAGTTGTCAATTCTGAAGTCGTTATTTCATTATCTCCTGGAACGGTAGGCAGCTCTGTGGGAGGTTCTGTTGGATTTTCCGGATTCTCGATTACCTGTCCTGCCGGATTTTCTTCGCCCGAGCACTAAAAAAACTTTTATGAGAAAAGTTTATTTAAAAAAACAACCCAACCCGAATTCCACTAGCCAAGAGAACCACCAATACAAATAATACCTTCCATCGTTGTTTCTGTTGATTTGGAGTCGACACAAAAGTAATGAAGAACATTGGAGAAAACGCAGAAAAGAAGACTGATTTGAAGAATATTTGACGTGCCCGCTCAACTCATCTAATGCTTAACTCATCCACACGCCCAAAAACGCTCAACTCATCTAAACGGCTAAAATTCCTTAACTCATCCACACGGCCAAAAACGCTCAACTCATCCAATCCTCAACTCATCTAATGCTTAACTCATCTACACGCCCAAAAACGCTCAACTCATCCAATCCTCAACTCATCTAATGCTTAACTCATCTACACGGCCAAAAACGCTCAACTCATCCAATCCTTTGGAACGAGACTATTGAGTACCAGTCGTTTGAGTCCCTGGCCGTTTGAGTCTCTGGCCGTCTGAGTTCATGACCAGTTGAGTCCCTGGCCGTTTGAGTCTCTGGCCGTCTGAGTCCATGACAAGTTGAGTCCCTGGCCGTTTGAGTGGTTGATTATCGCCGGTTGAGTCTTGGGCCGGTTGAGACTCAACTGACCAGGGACTCAACCGGCTAGGGACTCAACCGGCCGATATTTCAAGGATTGGATGAGTTGAGCGTTTTTGGGCGTGTGGATGAGTTAAGCATTAGATGAGTTGAGGATTGGATCAGTTGAGCGTTTTTGGGCGTGTGGATGAGTTAAGCATTAGATGAGTTGAGGATTGGATGAGATGAGCCTTTTTGGCCGTGTGGATGAGTTAAGTGTTAGATGAGTTAAGGATTGGATGAGTTGTAGGGTAGCCATATTTGAAGTTAAAATTTAAAAGTTTATCAGTTTTTATATCAAAATTTTTACCCGAAGAGTTTCACATAGCTATTTAATTCCTAAGGATATGCAGTAGGCGGCGTGGTGTATGGCAAATACATCAGTCCGGTCTACTGAAGATGCTGGTTCGCACCCAGCCGCCGATTAACCTTTTGCACTAGTTGAAGGAGAAAAATAGCTATAGCCCAACTGCTTTACTGTTTTAATTATTATTAGTTTTATTTAAGAGAATCACGTGAAGAATGGCTAAATGAACGTCAATCACTTGTTCAATATTTAAGTCAAATGTATTCAACAATACAAAAATTACTTAGGGAAAGAATTCTTCAAAACATTCCAATTTCAACATCTCAATTGGAAGCTTTAGCTAATAAATTAAGAAATATTAATGAAAAAGAAATTGAATTACAGAGAAAAGAAAAAAGAAATGAAGAAAAAGAGAAGGCTTTGGAAAATGAAGAAAATTTAAAAAATTCAAAAATTTCGGCATTTGAGACAATAATGGAAAATAATTGGGAATTAGAACAAATTAACCAGTCATTACAAGGATATCAATTAAATGTTCTTAGTTTATCTGCTGAATTACAAAGAACAAAACAAAAGGTGAAAAAGGAGCGGAAAGATTTTTGGAATTTAATTTTTAATTAATTACCGTATTTACTCGATTAATTCCCCTGGGGAATTATTTTTTCAACCCATCGGTAGCATGGGGAATTATTCAAGAGATGGGAATTAATCGAGTATATGCGTAATTAACAATTAATTAACAGTAGTAGTAGTTAAAATGCCTTAACTATTTTATTAGAATACTCCATTATTAAGGCTGGCTGATCCAAATATAAGCCGGATATCATTAAATTTTCGGTGATTCTCTGGGAACTTTTCCATTATTAACTCATTTTTCTATCATTTAAATTTAATTTAAAATTAATTTAGTTAGAGAATTCAGAAAAGGAAATTTTTCTTAAAACAAAAGAAATTGAAGAATTAAAATCAGAATTAAACGAATTTCAATTTGTTTTGGGAATTGATTTAAAGAAACTTGAACAGAACATTTCTAGTAATAAAAAAATTAAAAAAGAAGAAAAAGAAAAATTAAATGAAAATAATAATAAAGAATTAATTAATTTAAGTATTCAAACTAAAGGTAATTAATGTTTATTTGAATTTATAAATAAATTATTCGATACTTTTCCGTTATACTCCGAAAACTGAGTGCCAGCCGAATTTGATCGGCTATAACTTTTTTATTCTTGATCCGATACAAATGAATTTAATACCATTCGTAAGCCCTCGATAAGCTGTATCTTTTTTCCACCTTGATGGATAAGGTCTAATCATTCCTTAGAAGGTTATAACCCGATAAATTTGAAAAACACCAAATAAATTGCAAATTGAGTGCCAGCCTATCAAAGTCAGCTGACACTCAATTTGCGGTCGTATAACGTAAAAGTGCCGTTTATTCTTTTTTTGAATCGTTGAATCTCGATATAGTGGGCGGTTCATTTTCTTTATCTTTTTTACAATTTTGACTATGTATACATAATTTTATTCTTAATATTTTAATTTCCTTTTTATTCATTTTCTCCTTTCTTCACTATTTTAAATTCCCTTTATAAGAATTTTAAAAATTATTATTTCGCATTTTTTATTTCAAGTTTTGCCTTCTTCTGCTACTTCTAATTTATTTGAAGACAAAAATATAAATAATAATGACCTTTCTGAAAAAACACGTTTAATTGTTTTAAACAATAATGTAGAATGGGAGGAATATTTACAGAAATATAAAGAACAAGCAATTTTAATTGTTAATTCTTATAAAGTAAATTAATTAATTATTTTAATTTAATTTTTTTGGAATTTTTTAGGAGCAATTAGAAGCTAAGGAAAAAACTTTAAAAGAATATAGGGAATTAGTTGAACAATTAAAAACACAAAATGAGCAACAAAAACCTTTGATAGAAACAACACAAGAATTAAAAGAAAATTTGCCAACAAAAATTCAAAATCCTCTCAAAACTTCAAAAGAAGTTTTGATTGAAGAATCGCGGTCAGAACAGTGGGAAAGAAGAATAAATTTACTTGAGGGACGTTTACGTTTATTGGAAACAGAAAATTCTGAATTAGAAAATGAAAGGAAAAGACTTGTGGATATTTTGAATAAACAAAGAGATTTAGTTAGAAATCGAAAAAATATACAAACACAAGTAATTTTAAAAAAATAATCGGACCTCCTCAAAATATTTTACTTTGAGGTATATTTTTTTAATTTTATTGGCCACAGGGTGCCTAAGCGATACCTTTTAAGCATCGTAAAGTCTAAATTTTTCAACTTTATACCTTTCAAGGGAGGTGGGTCGGAACAGTCAGAGAAGTCGGAAATCGGAACTGGCTCAAAAGTCGGAACTCGGAAATTAAAATTTTTTACGGAAATCGGAAGGAAAAAAACGTCGGAAATCCGAATTCCGACCCACCTCTGCTTACAAGGGAGGTCCGATTGTATAAAAATTTTTATTTGACTAATTTTATTGGTTTAGGTAAATTTTGATGTTGCTAAAATTGCTAAACAAAAAACAACAAATAAAATGGAAATTGAGCAAAACCAACCAAAAAATGAAGATTTAATTAAAAATCCATCACCAATTTCATCCCCAATACCCCCACAATCTGATAATGAAGATAATCAAGAAGAAGGAGAAGAAACAAAAAGAGAAAGCCAAACAGAAGAAGACAAAACAGAAGGGGAAGTCAGTGGGGCTGGAAGTTCAGATTCTGGTACTGTAGTGGATGATATTGGGCAAAATAGAGGAAGAAGAAGAAAAAGCATTATTTCAGGCTCTGGTATATTAATTAAAATTTTCTGTATTTCTTTAGTTACAATCTGACTATTATTTTATTTCGAGAATTATCGGACCTCGGTTTTGTTTACTCTCATGGTGCTGAAAAAATTGAATTTAAAATGTATCGTTTAGACATCCCTCCCCCCAAACATATGCTAAATAAATTTTAAAAACTCATCATAAATCGAAGAGTATATCTAAATCTTGGGTTTATCTAGATTCGAGGTATATTCTAAACTCTCTAATAATTTACAGAAAAATTAACTCGAAGTAAAAGCAGCACAGCCGCTACTCGAACAATTCCAACTAGAACAGAAATTAGAAAACCAGATGATTTGGAGAATTTAGTTTTGAAACATCGAAATGAGACAAGGCGGTTAAGGATGCGTTTAATTGAATTAGAGAGGAGAAATAAGGCAAGAAAAAAAATTAAATTTTGGAAAAATATAAATTTAATTTTCAAGGAATTATCAGAGGAATATAACTCTCTTAGAGAAAGGTCCAGAATATCTGTTAGGCCTCTCCGTCATGTAGATTCTAGCACTATAGAGACAACACTTAAAAAAGAAAATAATAGAATATCAAAAGAAAATTCTTTATTAAATAAGTCAAATGAAACTTTAAAAACTGAAGCAGAACAATTAAAAGAACGTTTAAGACGTGCTGAAATACATAGCAAGGTAGTTAAAATGGAAATTTAGAAGTTTTTGAATGCAGTGAATTAAAATTTGGTTATAATTTCTTATCTAGCGATAACTTTTTTTGGTCATCCACTTACATATATAATAATATTATCAAATTAAAATATCGGAAATCTTGAGCCTTTTGGGCTTTTCTTTAGAAAGAGTTTAGCAAAAGTTTAGCCACCGGGCAGGATCGAACTGCGACAACACTGACAGTGCTCGCTCGGCCTTGCTCACACAATTGCAGGTGCTCTACCAAAGAGCCACCGGGGCGACGACTAATGCTTAATTTTTAAGGAATTATCAGAGGATTAAGAATATCTGTTAGGCCTCTTCGTTCTTTTTTATCCTTTTAGATTGTTTAACGTTTTAAATGCTCTAGGTGAATCGTCCCTACACTCTTTTTAAAATCAGCTTCGACACATTCTATTCCTTTCTAGACACGGGCGTAAGTGGTTATTATCAGTGTGTTAAAGAAAACTTTTTTTCTTATTTAAAAATTTAATTTTTTAATTTAATAAAAGGCAGGTGCAGAACTTTGGGAAACTCGAAAAAAACATGAACAAGCAATGGCTAACATACGTAAACGTTTGACTGAAGCAGAAGCACGTGAACGTGAATTACATGAAAGATTAGAAAGAAGAGAAAGACATATTGAACAAATGGGGAGAGTACAAAGTGATAAATTGGCTGATAATGATAAATTAAATATAGCTTTGCGTCAATGGAGAATTGAAAGAGAAGAATTAACAAAGAAAACAATTAGAACGGAAGAAGAAAAACAGGCAATAAATACACGATATTCTGAAGCAATAAATCGTTTAGATTTATTAGCGAAGGTATTGTACATATGTAGATATATTTTGGGGAGCTGTCAATAAAAATTGATTTATTAGTTCTGAAAAAACTAGCCCTGCTTGTTTTGAATACCTAAAGTGTTTTTATGTAATTAGAGGAGTCAAAAACGCTTTCAAATTTACCTTTAATTATTAGAGGTTCCATATTGTATGGTACCTATAACCAAAAGTTTAATTTACTCTAGTTGTAAATATATTCCTTTCCAGTACTGGGCATGGCTCCTGGAGCCGGAGCTAAGATTTTAAAAGCTCGGAGCCGAAGCCAACAAATGCCCAATACCCAGCACAGTTCCTTTCAACCAGTTTCCTTTCCCTAATTAAGGCTTTATTTAAAATCTCAACACCCGCCATTCTCTCAAAAAATTTTTTAAAACTTTCAGGAAAACAAATCATTACAAAAAAGAATTGCTCATTTACAACAAAATGAATTAAAAATATCCGAACAATTACAACAAACACAAAAACAAATAATTGAAGATAAAGAAGAAAAGAAGAAAGAATTAAAAGAAATAAATACACAAACAGACGATTTAATTATTCCCTCATTTTCAATTCCTCCAACAACACCTAGAACATTTTTGGAAAGTGAAAGAGAATTTACTATTTTAAGAGAAAGTCAATTAAATGAAACAAATAAATTTAGTAAATTTATTGAAGTTGAGGAAAGAGAAAGAAAATTAAAAAATGAAAATAGAGCTTTAATTAAAGATTTAAGAAAGGTAGATTTATTAAGTATAATTATGAATTAATTTTATTTGCCATCATTTTTTTAAATATTTCGTCAAAAATTACAGTGAAAGTCTTTTTGATTATTAGGGGGAAAAGCTACAATAATAATGAAAAAAGTCCCAAATATAAAGTTGTGTTGACATCGGCATTTCAGATTTTTTGGTTTTTAACAATCATTTTCTACTACAGTCGATCCTCGCTATAAGACTTTGTGGCGAGAAATTTAACCTTTAAAATTAGGTCTACCTTAAATATATCTACCAAATATTTTGAAAGAGAATAATCATAACTCGAAAAAACCAAAATAAACAATTTTGGTTTACAAGAGGCTTTACAAGAGGCAACTGTATTTTATTTTTTGATAGTGAGTCTTAAAATGTTCTAATAATTAAATTTGAACATAATTTTTTTGAATATTTTTAATGTTTGGTAAGATAACTAGGGGGTAATTATTAGAGAGGGTAATTGTTTGAGAGTTATTATTTCATCATTTACGATATATTATTTTTTAAATTGTCAAATACCAAAAATCGTTTTATTTTTGTTAAATTTTTCTAGGCAGAATTATATCAAAGAGAAACAGCAGAACAATTAAATTCATTAAAACAAAAACATTCCCAATTACTCGAAGACTATAATAATTTATTTAAAATTGGGAAAGATTTCAATAAAAAATCTTTATTAAAAGAAGATAATGAAATTGTTGGGATTGTTTTACTTAAAGATAAATTAGCTGCAAGAGAACGTGAATTGGAATTATTTAGAAGGAAAATTATTGAATTAGAAAGAAAAATTTGGCATTTTGAAATGGAAAGGAATTAAGAAATAATATTTATTAGCTGATTTAATTGTAAAAATAATTGAATATTTATTTAAAATAAATTTAAAAATATTTGATTATTTACATAATAAAAACGACTCAATCAAACCCCGATAAAAAACCAACTATTTAAATGTAAGAAAAAGCCTTTGGCTTGTATTTTTCGATACCCCTTATCGAGTAGGCTTCTAATAGGGCATGGGCTTCTATTAGGAATGGGCTTCTATTAGAGCTTTTACAGTATAGGTATGTATAAATTATTTAGGTTATTCCTTTATTTACATAGTTTACCCTTCAAAATACATAAATATATTTATTTCTTTCTGTACAAAAAATTTACAGACTTTTTAATAATACCGACTATTTGAATTATTATATTTTTAAGAAATTTGTTTTTCAATTTTAATTACTAGACATTTTACAAGACAACACCAGAAAAAAAGGAAAAATAAAAATAATGAAGAAATAACAAAAAAATTATTAAAAGCTGTTTAAATAAATAAAATAACAGTTTCGAAAATTTATTTTTGATTATTTAGAAAGGCAATATTGATATTTAATTTTAAAAATTATTAATAAAATATTAAATAAATTCTTTATGTTTTTAAAAATTTTATTATTTCTTTTTTATTTTGAACAAATTTTTGGGCAATGGATATATTATAGTGGTAATTTAATTACAGTATTTGCTACAATAATTAACTAGGATAATTAATGTTTCAACCTCTCACTGGAGGGGGTAATTAAGATGGAGGGGTAATTATTTGAGCTTTTTTAGACTGGCTAATTATAACTTGTTTTAAGAAGGGTGATTATTTCTTCTTATTCTTCGATCTCTTGCTGTAGGGTCTTGCTGTAATTAATAGGGCAGGGGTAATTATTTGAGAGAGGGACATTATTTCAGCATTTAAGGTAAATAAAATTTCTACAAAATATTTCGAGTAGAAAAAGGATTTTAATTTAAAGTTTAAAAATTTTTTTTGAATTTAAACAATTAAATTACAAATAATTTTCAAATTACAATTAACAAAAATTGAAAATTTGTTTAAACTTTTTAATATTTAAAACAGTTCCGCAACCACAATATTATTATCCAGTAATTTATTATAATAGTCCTTCAAAAGATGTTTGCAAAAATTATCGTTCAGACTGTAAAGTTTTTGAATATATCTGTGACCATCCTGATTATTCTTGGTACTTTCCAATCTTTATTAAATTATTTAAATTAAAATTAAAAGGTATATGGATTGTTGTTGTAGAGATACTTGTGATCCAAAATGTAGAGAAAAAGATGTAAATGACAAAGATTGGGAAAGTAGACGTAAACGTTTAAAAGAACAATTGGGGTTTGATAATAAAAATGTTAAAGGGTAAGTAGAAAATATGAACAATTCTCTCCAAAGGATATAGTAAAATATACCGATGATATGTATAAAACTTTTCTTATGAGTTTGATATTTGATATTAAATTATGTATTTATTGTTTTTAATTTATGAACATTTTTTTATAAAATCATAATATACTAACTCTTCCTTTGTAATTAAATATATAAAATTCAGAATCAACCCCTGTTTAGAAAGAATTAAAGTAATTAAATCTATAAAATTTTTGTATTAAGTTATGATCAAAAAGAGGATATTATTAAAAAGAAATCAAATAATGAAGTAATTCTTTCGAAATATTTGGGTGATATTGATAAACAAAATCTTCAAAGAAATAAGTAAATTAATTAAATTTAAATATTTTCCAAAATTAAGTCAATATAACAAATTAAATGACTATTCTTTATGGTATGATGATGATAGATGGGATAGAAATAACCCTAAATTGCCTCGAGAAAAAGTAGAAAATAATATCTTCGGCTAAATTATTATACAATTATTTGCATTATACAAATTATTCCAACTTTAATCCTTAACTAATGTCTAAAAATAGATTAAATTGAATTAATAACTTTTTTAAATGTTTGTTACAAGCATTACTTTAAAATTTGTTAGAAATTTTATAAAAACATAGAGTAAAAAATGTTGTCCTCCACCTAGTTTTAAAAATTTTGAAGTTTACCGCCCAAATCAACTCACTGCCTCATCACTCGAGCCGAAATCACAAAGCGACACGTCATATACCGTTCGACCGACGCAAAGTCAGCGCGTCGTCAACGATTGTCCGACGACATCAATGTAAATGCGTCTCAACCGTCAAACAAAGTCTCGTCGACCGTCCGACGACGACGTCAATGTCATCGCGTCGTCAACCGTTAAACGACGACATCAACGACAACGCGTCGTCAACCGTTAAACGACGACGTCAATGTCACCGCGTCGTCAACTGTCAAACGACGACGTCAACATCACCGCGTCGTCAACTGTCAAACGACGACGTCAATGTCGACGACTCGTCAACTGTCAAACGACGACGTCAACGACAACGCGTCGTCAACCGTCAAACGACGACGTCAACGTCACCGCGTCGTCAACCGTCAAGCGACGACGTCAACGACAACGCGTCTTCAACCGTTAAACGACGACGTCAACGTCAACGCGTCGTCAACCGTTAAACGACGACGTCAACGTCATCGCGTCGTCAACCTTCAAACGAAGACGTCTCAACGCGTCGTCAACTGTCAAACGACGACGTCAATGTCAACGCGTCGTCAACCGTCAAACACCAACGTCAACACGTCGTCAACCGACAAACGACGACGTCAATGTCGACGACTCGGACGACGTCAACTACAACGCGTCGTCAACTGTCAAACAACGACGTCAATGTCAACGCGTCGACAACCGTCAAACAACAACGTCAACGCGTCGTCATACAAACAACGACGTCAATGTCAACGCGTCGACAACCGTCCGACGAAAACGTCAAAGTCGTCAACCGACCATTGACTACGTTAAGGACGATTCAGTATCGCAATTCAGTATCGGCCGATTCAGTATTTGGGATTTTTGGCCATAACTTTTTGTTAGATCAATATTATGCATACGAATTTTTATATATGATTTGATAGGTCTCGGAGGTCGAAATTGTCAGACACGTAAATTTTTAATTTCAAATTTTTACCACGAATCTGACTTGGGCTCAGATTTGGACTCAGCACAACCTCAAAAATCGCGCATGAGGTTTTTTCTTTAACCACTCTACGAGCGTACCTAATTTCACGCTTTATAATCTTTAAATTTGTTCTACATACATATATATTATTTTCTAGATTTAATTTTTAATATTTAAAAATGGAAGATATTTCAAAATTAGAGTTAGCTGCTCATTTAATCATGGTAATTTTACACATAATTTTTATTTTATTAATCGGTATTTATATATTTCTAGGCTCCACCAAGCCAGGTTAGTTTTCAAGACAGAAAAGATGCTGAAGCTTTTTTTATGAGATTGCGTGAGGGAGCTCTTTCCGTCGATTCTTGCAGACAAATTTTAGAAACTACACAAAATCACTTTTTAATGTTTGAATTGGCTCGTTCACTTGTTGCAAGGATGTTGAAGGAATGGGCTAAATTTAATCAAGAAGACATTCGCAATATTGCTTTGTATTTATTGAATTTCCCTGTTGTCCATCAAGAGTAAGTTTTTTTCTATTTTAAGATTTTCTTTGGTTTATTTTAATTAAAAGATTTTTTTTTTAATTTATTTATCTTTTTTAAAAAATTCTTTTTTAGTCTTCCCAACTTTGTTTCTACAGAAATGTTTCATTCAGGTCTAAAATAAATTTTTTTCATTTTAAAATTTAATGAAATTTATAGCTGCAATGATTATAAAAAGAAATAGTTTAGTTGCTCATGAAAATACTTTTGCTGATTTACTTTCAATTTTGGAAACTTTTTTTAATAATGAAAATCAAAAATTGGTTTTTAATATTTTTTAATTTTCTTTCAATTTTTTAATTTAGCAATCTTTTGGTTTACAAATAATTGAATTAGTCGCTACTGAATTTTCTACTATTTGGCGTTCTTCAAATATATCTATAACTTGGGATTTTCATTTAAATGCGAAGAAACAATTTGAGGTTTTTTTATTTTTTTAAAATGCTGTCTTCTTAAATTTTGATTAATTAATTTTTGCGTATTATAAAATAATTTTTGGAATTGATTCTTTAAATAAAATACTGATTTTGTAAATTTCTATTTTTTCTAGTTTTTAGATCAGAATTTAAAATTTTTATTTCTTTTTAGGATGTTTTACTCAAACAACTTATGCAACTTTCTCTCCGTACACTTTCTAATCTTTTGTCAACTTCTCCCGATCTCAATTCAATTATTGAACAACAAATTTGTGACAAATTTTTAAGAGTTGCTTCTTTAATTTTCTGCTGGAATTTTTCGCCAAAATATTTATATTTGCATTTTAAAGTAATCATATCAGCCCTTCGATCTAACACTTTTCGACCACCAGAATCTTGGCATGAATTGTTTAAAGATACTTCAATAATTACTTTCTTTATGCAGGTTTATTTGAATTATTTTTTTAAAAGTGTCTATTCATTTTTAATTTTTAGATGCACTCTCGAATTCGTTTTAATGAAAGACTTTGTGAAAATTCAATGGTTTGTTTAACTCAACTAGCTTCTCTTATTGGTGATGCTCTTGGACCTTCTGGACCAATTGCTGTTGTCATGCCTTTAGTTGGCAACTTGGGTGAACGACGGCTGGCAACTGTTATGGGTGGTATAGACGAACCAGTATCTAGCAGAAAACCAATTCTGCATGACCTATATGTTCAAACTTTTGTTAGTCAAATGATTGATTTATTTTCTGAGTAAGTGATTTATACTTTATAACATTAGATCACTCCTTGTTCTTTGAACTAATGGACTCAATATATGAATTTTTTAAATTTTAAATAAAATAAAAATTATTTTTTGGTCTAAATTGCTTTCCCTTTTTTAGTTTATTAAACTTTAAAATTTTAATAAAATAATTTTTCAGTATGGTACTTGATCACGAAATGGTTTCACTCAGTTTGGTTATTTACAAATTATTCACTTGCCATCCAATTTTGATTTTTGAACGTTTTCCTGATGAATTGTTGCATCGTTTTGTTGATTTTGTTGCAAAAAATATTTTAAAACTTACTCAACCTACAATATTTTTAGCAATGGTTTTTCATTTTATTTTTAACTATTTTTATTTTTTTTTAATTCAGAAAAACGACCAGACATATAGCTCAGCATTGGGCAATCTCTTCCAAGTTTGGCGCCCACTTCTCCGTTCAGCCCATATTTTTAAAGAAAATATTGCGGTCTTGATTGAATCCCATAATGTTGCTATTATTGAGACTTTTATTAAGTCTGTGCTTTCGCCGCCATTTGGAAATCGTGAAAAGGTGGGATTATTTTTTTAATAGGTAAAGTATTTTATAGAAATTTAGGGAGCTCTCCCTAAATGTGGGAATATTTAAACTTTATGGGAGAGAGTAATCACAAGGCGAAAATTTTGTGTCGGGCCCTATAAAATTTTTATAATTTTTGCCTGCATGTAAAAGGAGCTAAAATAAGAATTTATATTTTTAAAAATTTTTTCCAAAGTCTTTTCCATTCTTCTACATTAATTATTGCATAGTTTATTTATAAAATTGACAATAAATATTCTATTAAAAATTTTTTAGCCAACGTCCGGTGAAATTTATGATGAAAACGAGGATGAAGAAGACGACAGAATTGTGTTTATGGATATACTTTGTGATATTGGATTTTTCTGTTTATATTCTATTGACTATTTTGTTGATTTTGTGACACGGTTTTAATTTAATTTATCATTAATTTAAATAATTTAGTGCAATTGTTCAACGTTTGGTCGAACTAACCTCATTAAATTTGCAAACTGTTGATTCAAAACAATTGGAAATTTGGCAAGAAGATTTTCATTGGATTTTACTTATAATTGGTTATTTAATAATTTTTTTATATTTTAAGTTTTCCAATTAAAGGTCATTTTATTCGTCATAACTCATATAGTTATATTGGAAATATTCCTGAAGAATTGGCTTTGAAATGTTTTTTATTTTTTAAAATATTTTTAATTATTCTATTTTTAAGGTCTGAAAGGATATCAATCTGGCGAATTTACAAAATTTGATGATTTTTCGCCTCTTTTCCAAAATTGTATTGATAACCCGCCATTTAATCCTGCAAATTATCCAGGGAGATTGGATCCTGTTACCTTGTAATTTTTTTCAAAAATATTAATCTCGATAATTTCCTATTCTATTTTAATTTTTTAAAGACTTGGTGACAGTGGTGGGTCGGAATTTCGATTTCCGACGTTTTTTTTTCCGATTTCCTAAAAAAATTTCGATTTCCGAGTTCCGACTTTTAAGCCAGTTCCGATTTCCGACACCTCTGACTGTTCCGACCCACCTCTGCTTGGTAATAACTCCTCTAATATTTTTATAATTACTCAATTAGTTTGGATTCTGTTAATTGTTTTAAAAATTTTCTAGGATTTCAACACAAATTCTAAGCTGGTTTTCTTTAGAACATCAAATGCTTATTAAATTGGATCCAAATGCTTCTTTGTTAAGTCCAACACTTTGTCAAACTTCTCTTTGGCAATTTTCACTTTTAATGATTGTTCTAACCCCTCCAAGTTCTTCACTTGAGGAAGATTCTTCTTTCGCAAAAGAAAGTGAAGAAGATAATTGGGGAGAAGATCAATCAAGAATATCTGTTAAATATTTACCTTCAATTCCGCCAAAAAGTGCTCTGTCAGCTCAAATAATTCAAATGTCTTTGGAAAAAATGTTTACAATTTTAACTAAAATGCCTGGCGAAAAGAGGTTTTTTTAATTTTATTTTATAAATTTATAAAATTTCATTAGGTTATGTTCTGATGTTATAAAATTACTTATAAGTCTTGCTGAATATCGACCACTTGAATTGGCAGAAAATGAGAATTTATATTCTTTGTTCAGTGGAATTGATTTTTGTATGAATATTTTAATAATATTTAGAATGTACATATAAATTCTTTTTTTAGCAAATTTACCTGCTCGACGTCAATTTGTTAAAGCAATTGTTTTAATGGGTGGAATGCTTGAATTACCAATTTTGAGACAACGGATTCATGAAACGGTATAGTTTTTAAATTGGAACTGTCCAGAAAATTTTTATAAAAATTTTTTGTCTTATCATTTAGGGTTTTATGCCAATTTTTGGATTCACTTGAAGCAAATTATTTATTAAATTTTTAGATACTTGAACCATTAATTCAACGCTTTTTGGCTCTTTGTGAGGCTAGAGACTCTGTTGTTAATTCTCGTTTAACTGATCTTTTTGAGTGTTTTACTGGTATTGCAGATGCTGGACAAGCAGATACTGCTCGAACTTTATTTAGTTTGTTTTGGAATTTAATTAAATTAATTTTTTTTGAATATTTAAAGAATTTCTTCAACCAGTTTATGAACGTTGTATTCCATTAATTAGAAATTGTTCTCAATCTCAACCATTAATTGTTTCTATTTTGGCCTTTTTAAAATCAAATACCGATGTTCTTTTCTTTTACGGTTTTTATTTTTAAATTATTTTTTTAAACATTTAAATTTAAGTTGAATCAAAAGAAGATATTCAGTCATATCATAATTTATTAATTGGTGTTATTAATGCTTACAAGGTTAACATTTTTCATATTAGATGTGAGCTAGACCTTCGCTTTTTGAGTACAAAATTTTCTTGCCCAAAACTGTTGGAGAAATAATTTTTTGATCCCCACGGATTTTTTGTCCCCATTTTAAAGGATTTGGAGCCCTATACAACTCCCTGGGTACGCCCTTCTGTTGTTTCAATTTTTACTTGGGAACACAATTTTAATTTTTTGAATTGAATTCCGTACTATTCATACTTTGCTTTATTCCCAAAAATTATCTCTCATTCTTCTATAATTTTTGTTTCAGGATACTCAACTTCAAAGATTTGCTTCTTTTGAGAATGCAACAGATGATGAACAACAAACTCAAGATTTAACAACTTTTATTGAAATTCTATGTTTGGCTATAACTAAAACTTACCTCCCTTTAGATTTGTCGGAAGCTTCTGCTATAGATTCGGCAAAAGTTTCCCTTCACGGTAAACCTATCTTTTATAATCAACTTTTGATTTCTCAAGGCCTTGAAATTTTATTGCCAATGATGAGCGAAGATTTATTAAAAATTCCTTTACTTTGTACTTCTTTCTTCCGTTTACTGATTTTCATTTCTGATATTGCTCCTGAAGCTATTGTTCAAGTCTCTGAACAAATGCTTAATGGATTTCTTGGATGTGTTCAATCAGCTTTAGACAATACTTTTGGTATTGAACGTGTTCGATCTGCATTAGAAATTGTTAACAATTTTGCTACTCATTGCTTATTACAAATTCAGAAAGGTCAACAAGTCAGCCCATTATTGGCAGAAAATATTCTGAAATTTATTCCGGTCATTTTAAAAAATAATATTTTTGTTTAAATTATAATTTTAGAAAATATTTGAATTGGCAATGCAATTTAGTTGTGAACTTGAAATTTTTAATGAAGCAACGAGCACTCTTTTTACTTTAATTGGACTAAATCAGGTTATTTTTTAATTCTGTTTACAAGGAACCATACCGAACTGCCAGGGAAGATTTTTCAATTTAATTTACATCATTATGTAAGAGCATGATCGATAGCTATAGGGCTTCAAAGTTTTCGACTTTTTGAGCGTTTGAGTCGCCCTCATTCTTTCCTAATAAAGAGATTTTTCTTTCTTTGATTTTTTAGTTTCGGTTAGATCCATTATCTTTTAGAATTCATTTATTCTAAATCTTTGTCCATCGTTCTCTAGTCTAATATCCTCTCCAACAATTTATTATCTGATTTAAAAATATTTTAAACTTTTCAGGATTCCTTCAAAGCTTATTTAAATCAACTTCTTTCACTTCCCTCAAACATTGAAAATAAATCTGCATTAGAACAGTCATTTTCAAAACTCTTAACAACATCGTCAGACGATGAAGCAACTCCTAGAAATTTTACAGCTTCAAAGAAACGAAATTTTCAAATTAAATTTGAAAGTTTTTTAATTGAAGTTAGCGGTGCTCTTTGCTTGACATAAATTGAATATAAATATGTTTTTAATTATTTAAGGTTTACTTTTTTTTGTTTTACCTGCATTTTTTGCTTTATTTTGTTTTTTGAAATTTATTTTTCATTCCCTATTATTTGTCATTATTCCACTAGGCGTAGTAGAATTTACGGTTAAAATGACCAAAATAATTTGGTATTAATTTAGATATTAAATTATTACCTAATTATTTTTGACTTAACAAAAACTAAACAGCATTTATTGTTATTTACTGGGCTCTTAGCTAGAAAATATCCAAAAACAAATCTTAATGTCTACGCCATCCTTCAATTTTGTTCTTAGTTCTTAATTTATAAAAAATATTTGGATAAATTTTTGGTGCAAATTAATTGAATTATTAATTGACTGTATTTCTATTTACTTAAATTTCCTAAAATTATTTTAATTTTTTATTCACTTACCTAAAAGGTTAATTACTCTGAATTTTTAAAAAATTTTATGTTCAAGAATTTCATTTTAAAAAGATTAGTTTCTGAATTCCTTCATTCTCCTTTCAAATTTAAACAAAATTTACATATTTTGGGTATTGAATCAAGGTTTTTTCCTCAAAAATATTTTAAAAATTATTTAAAACAAAGTTGTGACGATGCTGCGGTTTCGATTATTTGTCAAGAAAAAAGGAGAATACTTTGCGATATTCGAAGTTATGACTTTAAGACAAATTCTCGAATGGGAGGAATTAACCCACATTCTTCGGCAAGGCATGTAGGCAGTTTTTGTCTTTTTAAGCTAAGAAAATAAAAAAAACTTTTTAATTTAAATAGCATAGAGAAGCAATTCCCCGGCTAATACGTGATGCTCTTGCCGAGTGTAAAATGCGAGCTTATGATGTAGACGTTGTTGCTGTAACTAATAGGCCAGGGTTGGTTAACAGTTTAAAAGTTGGAATAGAACATGCTATTTGTTTTGCTAGGTTTTTAATATTTTAAATTTGTGGGTTATTTTAAATATATCGAAATTATATTAAATAATTGGCCCAGATCTCGAAGGGTTATTTCTGATAATTAATGGTAAAAGAGTTGGACTCATTATTTTGTTAATTCTTGGAAATATGTAAAAAAAATTAATAATTTCGAATTTTTTATAGAAAATATCATCGTCCACTTATACCAATTCATCACATGCGTGCTCACGCTTTAATCGCTCGTTTATTATTTTCTGAATTAAATTATCCTTTTATTTCTCTTCTTATTTCTGGTGGCCATTGTATTCTTTGTATTGTTTATAGCCCTGTAAACTTCAAAATTTTGTTGGATACAAAGAGTGGAAGTCCTGGAGAATGTTTGGATAAATTAGCTAGAGAATTAGGCTTACAACAGTTAAATGGTAAAAGTAAATGATTTTGATATTTTGTTGGAGGGGGTCTCATTCAGGGTGTCCCTTTACAAATCACCAAAAGGGGGCATAGCCTCCCAAAAAGGGGGCAAAAAAGGAGGCAACCCTTGTCTTATTCCAGTTCTGTTTACATCCTTGCAATAATAAATTTGGATCTAAATCATATTAAATTATTTTTCCTTAAACTTAAACAATTTTATATTTTTTAATCTATCAGGGCATTTTGGAGTTGCGCTAGAACAAATTGCAAAGAGGTGAACTAGAATAATTATTTAATAATTTAAAATATTAATTTAGTTATATAAAAGGAAATCTAGATAAACCTCATTACACTCTAACTCTTCCAAAAGCTGATATATCTCAAGATTTAGATTTTGATTTAATTAAAGGGCGTTATCTAAGAATAATTAGAGATAAATTAAAGAACAACAAAAATGATGAAATTGCTGATTTATGTGCTGCAATTCAAGTAAAAACAAGTTTTTGAAAAAATATTTTGGCCTATAAGAATTTAAGGGAAAAATGTCACGAAAATTAAAATTGCTTGAAAACAAATAAGGGTTAGATTTCTCCAAATATTTTTTGAAAATTATGAGATTGGAAGGATTTTTTGTTTTGGATTTTATATAACCTAACTACAAATTAATTTTAAATTTTAATTTAAGCACACAATTGGCGAATATATTTGTCAACATTTAAATTTGCTTTTGCCTTTAATTTCTTCATTTCCTGAATTTACAAATCTTCTAAAAAAATATTTAGTTTTGGCTGGGGGCGTTGCATCAAATAATTATATTTTCCAACAAATTTCAAAAGTTTCTAATTCCCACAATTTTACGGTTTTAGTACCTCCTCCACATTTTTGCACTGATAATGGGGTTATGGTAAATTTAAATTAAATATTTTTTTAAGAAAAATAATTTTTTAGATTGCCTGGGCAGGACTGGAAATCTTTAACAGAAAAGAAAATGATAAAATTTATTGGCCAGACGAGTTGCCTGATTTTTTGTGGGCTTCGCATAAATCCCCAATTGGTCCAAGAATAGAATTAAATAAAAATTAAATATTTATTTTCAAAATGATTTTTTTAATAATATTAGTCTATCTTTTATACCTTATGGTTGCTAATAGAATAAATTTTAAAAAATTTTTATGTCTGAATATCTGACTTTGCTGGGTGTTTCAATAATAAAACGAGTCTACAAACCGAAGAGTTATTTTGATGTTTAACTAATTTTTGATGTTTTTGGCTCAGAAAATCATAAAATTTTGAATTTTTTAAAATTTATTTTCGGAGTTAGGAAAAGATACTTGTACGGCTCACTGATAAGAGCAAAATAAAAACAGAAAAATTCAAAACAATATTTTTATAATTTTTAAGTATTAAATTTCAAATAACCAAAGCTCTTCTTCTCATTTATTCTTCATTTTTTCATTTAAAAAATATTTATTTGTACACTTCAACTATTTTTTACAAACTTTAAAATTTATGTATATTTTCACGTGAAATCAATTGAGATAAATTTTTGTAGATTATTTTTAAATAAACATTTTTACTTTAAATTATTTTAGAAAAAATTATGTAAATCTTAAATAAAAATTACATAGTTTTCAACTTTTTTTAATAACATAAATATACATGCACTTTATTATTATAGTGAAAAAAATATAAGATAATATTTTTTGTCATTTAATATTTTTAAAAAATATTTTAATTTTTAACTCAAACTTGACTAAAAAATTTGAAAATTAAATTCTTCCATTTTAACTTTTTTTAAACCAAAATATTTGTAAACAATTTTATTTCATTTTTTGCAAAAAAAAGCTTTTTTGGCTTAAAAACTATAAAATACCTATTTTTAATTTTAAAATTTCTAATAAAAATATTTTTATATATTTACACCGACATTTCCATGTTTTTAGCAGAAAATAAATACAAAAAAAATTAAAATTATTTTGGCAGAAAATAGTAAGAGAACTTCGATCACTAAAATGTTGAAAAAAATATATATTATGTATATTTTTTGTATTTTCACCTCTATAAATTTTTATAATAATTTTGATTATTACATATTAACTTATGACATTATATTTAAATCTTGTATATATATCTAACTAAATAAATATATTTATTTAGTTAAACATTCAAAATTATTTCCATTTAAAATAAAAATGACTGAACTAAATAATAATACATTAAATTCTGATAATTCTTGTAATTCTGATGATAATTTAAAAATATTAATTCCGCCACAAAATGAAAAACAAAATATTCAAGAAACTTTAAATGAAACAAAATTAGAAGAAGAAAAAGAAACAAAATCTGAGAAAGATTTAGAATTAAAAATAATACAAAAGGTTAAAAAGGATTAATTAAATAAAAATATTTTACTCTTTATTTGTCCTTTTTTATTCAGAATAGAAACTTTAGTAAGGAAATTTATCTCAAGAAAATTAAAAACAAATCTCTGATATTTTAAATTTTAATTTATAGACTGGTCCACAAGTAAATCCTTATTTAAATAAAGTAGCGTGGATATGTGCTTTTTGTAGTTTTCTTCTTGGTTATAGTACTGGTATGCTAATAAATTATAATTTATATATTTTTATTAAATATACAGTCGAACTAATTATAAGATACAACCAATAGTAGATAGATAAACCTCTTTTTTAGATGCGGGTTTTAGAAAATTTGATGATCACTGGAAGGGGAGGAGAGGGATGTAGGCTGCCTAAGTGATAACTAGGGTTGTTCCCCGGCGAGAGGGGAGGATTCACAAATTCCCCGACCTTCAGGGACGGGGAACAATTCTAGTGATAACCAGATATAGTCGATCCTAGATACAATATTTTCTAGCCCATAGAGTATTCTTTAGTGAAGTCTAACTGCTTAATTTCCTAAATTTCAAAACAAAATAAAGGTGTAATTAACGGGGCATTGCCGTTTATGGTCGATGATTTACAATTATCACCAGCAATTATTGGTTTAGTTACTTCCTCTTTATTAATTGGAAGTGCTTTTGGTTCTCTTTTTGCTGGAAGATTAGCTGATATTTTTGGTAGAAAGATTACTTTGATGGGAAATACTTTATTATTTATGATTGGAACTTTGTGTTATTCTCTCTC